TTTCTGACAGTTCTCTGACAGTTCCTTCACATTTACAGCGGTTGAAACATTGTATCTATTGTTTCCATTTAGGATACAGATGTTTTTATTCGGAAACAAATAGATACAATGTTTCAACCGCTGTAAATGTGAAGGAACTGTCAGAGAACTGTCAGAAATAGCGGAGCTCTCTGCAGATACACTTTTTGCTGTACTGGAATTCTTCTTCTTTTCATTCTTCTTCTTCTTTTCATTCTTCTTCTTCTTCTTCTTCTTCTTCTTCTTTTCATTCTTCTTCTTCTTTTCATTCTTCTTCTTTTCATTCTTCTTCTTCTTCTTTTCATTCTTCTTCTTTCATTCTTCTTCTTCTTCTTTTCATTCTTCTTCTTTTCATTCTTCTTTTCATTCTTCTTCTTCTTCTCTTTTCATTCTTCTTCTTCTTTTCATTCTTCTTTTCATTCTTCTTTTCATTCTTCTTTTCATTCTTCTTCTCATTCTTCTTTTCATTCTTCTTTTCAATTCTTCTTCTCATTCTTCTTTTCATTCTTCTTCTTCTTCTTTTCATTCTTCTTTTCATTCTTCTTCTTCTTCTTTTCATTCTTCTTTTCATTCTTCTCATTTTTCTTTTCATTCTTTTTCATTCTTCTTCTCATTTTTCTTTTCATTCTTCTTCTTCTACTTTTCATTCTTCTTCTTTTCATTCTTCTTCTTCTTCTTTTCATTCTCTTTTCATTCTTCTCATTCTTCTTTTCATTCTTCTTCTCATTCTTCTTTCATTCTTCTTCTTCTTCTTTTCATTCTTCTTCTCATTCTTCTTCTTCTTCTGCTTTTCATTCTTCTTCTTCTTCTTCTTCTTCTTTTCATTCTTCTTCTTCTTCTTTTCATTCTTCTTTTCATTCTTCTTCTTCTTCTTTTCATTCTTCTTCTTCTTCTTTTCATTCTTCTTTTCATTCTTCTTTTCATTCTTTTCTTCTTCTTTTCATTCTTCTTCTTCTTCTTTTCATTCTTCTTTCATCATTCTTCTCATTCTTCTTTTCATTCTTCTTCTCATTCTTCTTTTCATTCTTCTTCTTCTTCTTTTCATTCTTCTTTTCATTCTTCTTCTTCTTCTTCTTCTTTTCATTCTTCTTCTTCTTTTCATTCTTCTTTTCATTCTTCTTCTTCTTTTCATTCTTCTCATTCCTCTTTTCATTCTTCTTTTCATTCTTCTCATTCCTCTTTTCATTCTTCTTTTCATTCCTCTTCTCATTCTTCTTTTCATTCTTCTTCTTCTTTTTCATTCTTCTTCTTCTTCTTTTTCATTCTTCTTCTTCTTCTTCTTTTCATTCTTCTTTTCATTCTTCTTCTTTTCATTCTTCTTCTTCTTCTTTTCATTCTTCTTCTTTTCATTCTTCTTCTTCTTTTCATTCTTCTTTTCATTCTTCTTCTTTTCATTCTTCTTCTTCTTCTTTTCATTCTTCTTCTTCTTCTTTTCATTCTTCTTTTCATTCTTCTTCTTTTTCATTCTTCTTCTTCTTTTCATTCTTCTTCTTTTTTCTTCTTCATTCTTCTTTTTTCTTCTTTTCATTTCTTCTTCTTTTCATTCTTCTTCTTCTTTTCATTCTTCTTCTTTTCATTTCATTTCTTCTTCTTTTCATTTCTTCTTCTTCTTCTTTTCATTCTTCTTTTCATTCTTCTTTTTTCTTCTTTTCATTCTTCTTTTCATTCTTCTTCTTCTTCTTTTCTTCTTTTCATTCTTCTTTCATTCTTCTTCTCATTTTCTTTCATTCTTCTTCTTTTCTTTTCTTCTTCTTTTCATTCTTCTTTTCATTCTTCTCATTCTTCTTTTTCATTCTTCTTCTCATTCTTCTTTTCATTCTTCTTCTTCTTCTTTTCATTCTTCTTTTCATTCTTCTTCTTCTTCTTTTCATTCTTCTTCTTCTTCTTCTTTTCATTCTTCTTCTTCTTCTTCTTCTTCGTCGTGCCCCGTGACTGCCCAAATGAGTGAAGTGTGCGGTGATTCTAAGATTGACGGCACTCATCTGCATGTCATACTGACTGACAGTATTATTTCTCTTCCCCAGCAGACTCCAAGGGCATTTAAATTAAAGGTACAGTGTTCTGCACTAATATAAAGGCTCTCTGAAGCCTAGAAACACTTTTAATAAGTTAAATTCGCAGCGAATAAATTCGCATCGAATCAAATTTCTCCCGCAAATTCGGCGAATCAGCCGAATCGAATTTTTGAATAATTCGCTCATCTCTAGTTGAGACAGCAGTCAGCTGTCAATCACACTAAACAATATGATAGTGTGACAAGAACACGCCTATCTGAAAAAGAAGGTTTCTAAAAGATCCACGCGGAGTAATATGAATTCAAATGAATTTAACAATACTTTATTTGATCACATAGATCATGGGAGGTTAAACATAAGCACGGTGTACATATGAAAAAAATAAAATCATGTTTAAAAACACTTAGCGTCTTCAATTAAGGGTCATCTTAGCCAACAGAGCACCATATAAGGCAGAGTGTTGTAATGATGGAATAGTTATCCTGGATTTCCGTAGGTTTCCTGCTTAATATTAGTGTGAACCGTATAATCAGTAGGTGTGTTCCCAGTATAGATCAGGGACCTCCTGGAATGTACAGGCTGGAACACAAAAATACATGGTATGTATCTAGCAATATGGAAACCAAATCACATCCAAAATTTACCAGGCCTCCCTCCACAATAGTCAATGGATGCTGCTGTTACCTTCTCATAGGTGAGACTATCATACCCGCCTCTCAAATGTAGGGACTTCCTGGATAGCCACCCCAAATGGAACAGGGTCCACAGTACCAAATGATTCTGAGGATATATATAGAAAAAGATAATAAATGTGTAGAACATGGGCATCAGGTAATCCCGAAAACAAAACACACATAAAGATGTGGATATATTACCATCAATAAGGATCAAGAAGACTTCTGTCGACTTGAACTAAGATCAGGTCCTTGATGCTTTTCCAAAAATGCATATGGGGGTGAGGGACCAGGTATACACGATGCGTGGATTTCAAACACATATAGTGTGTATATAGCATATAGCAGGCCGTAGATACCTGAATTTAATATACCCAGTAAAGGGTTTCCAAAAATTGCTCAATTTGAGAAGGTTATTTGCGGTTTTATAAGGATGTGGCTATGTCACAGCAAAAAATACCTGAATAGGATAGCATATGTATATATATATATATATGTAGATTTTCCTCCTTAGAGGATTTCCAAAAAATTCCCCGAGTATACAGGGTAAATTAGGCCCATACAGCATGCCCTATGAACACCATGTAGGCTCTGTAAATCTCAACAGCCGTAAGCTTATAAATAACTTGCCACCGGTGGAAGATATATTTCCCTGAAGGATTGCCGTTTGCGAACCGCTGTGATAATAGCCCACTGGTAGTTCTCAAAGGGTCTTGGGCCTACCTAGCAGGAAGCTGTGACACCGCCGTTCCTTCCCGCCTCGTGGGCGCCGCACCCTGTGAAGACGCCGAGCGTAGTGACGTCAATACGTTGACGCGTTTTGTCCGCCAATCACCGCAGACTTCGTCAGACGTCAGACAGGGAAATATATCTTCCACCGGTGGCAAGTTATTTATAAGCTTACGGCTGTTGAGATTTACAGAGCCTACATGGTGTTCATAGGGCATGCTGTATGGGCCTAATTTACCCTGTATACTCGGGGAATTTTTGGAAATCCTCTAAGGAGGAGAATCTACATATATATATATATATACATATGCTATCCTATTCAGGTATTTTTTTGCTGTGACATAGCCACATCCTTATAAAACCGCAAATAACCTTCTCAAATTGAGCAATTTTTGGAAACCCTTTACTGGGTATATTAAATTCAGGTATCTACGGCCTGCTATATGCTATATACACACTATATGTGTTTGAAATCCACGCATCGTGTATACCTGGTCCCTCACCCCCATATGCATTTTTGGAAAAGCATCAAGGACCTGATCTTAGTTCAAGTCGACAGAAGTCTTCTTGATCCTTATTGATGGTAATATATCCACATCTTTATGTGTGTTTTGTTTTCGGGATTACCTGATGCCCATGTTCTACACATTTATTATCTTTTTCTATATATATCCTCAGAATCATTTGGTACTGTGGACCCTGTTCCATTTGGGGTGGCTATCCAGGAAGTCCCTACATTTGAGAGGCGGGTATGATAGTCTCACCTATGAGAAGGTAACAGCAGCATCCATTGACTATTGTGGAGGGAGGCCTGGTAAATTTTGGATGTGATTTGGTTTCCATATTGCTAGATACATACCATGTATTTTTGTGTTCCAGCCTGTACATTCCAGGAGGTCCCTGATCTATACTGGGAACACACCTACTGATTATACGGTTCACACAAATATTAAGCAGGAAACCTACGGAAATCCAGGATAACTATTCCATCATTACAACACTCTGCCTTATATGGTGCTCTGTTGGCTAAGATGACCCTTAATTGAAGACGCTAAGTGTTTTTAAACATGATTTTATTTTTTTCATATGTACACCGTGCTTATGTTTAACCTCCCCATGATCTATGTGATCAAATAAAGTATTGTTAAATTCATTTGAATTCATATTACTCCGCGTGGATCTTTTAGAAACCTTCTTTTTCAGATAGGCGTGTTCTTGTCACACTATCATATTGTTTAGTATGCTGTCCCCTGGGTTTATGTATCCACACTTGTACAAGTGAGTCGGAGAGGTGCTTATGACATTAACAATTAGTGTCATTTTTGGTGGCTTGCTTTTGCTTTATTGTTGTGAGCTGTCAATCACAGCCCATGAGCCAATGAGAAAAAAGAGGGGTTCCATGTGTGAATGAACACATGAAGCAGCGGGTGCCCCCATAGCAAGCTGCTTGCTGTGGGGGCACTGGACAGGTGGGAGGGGCCAGGAGAGCATGCAGGGACCTGAGAAGAGGAGTATCCAGGCTCTTCTGTGCAAAACCACTGCACACAGCAGGTAAGCATAGACACAGGGGCGGACTGACCATTTGGAAACTCGGGCACTGCCCGAGGGCCCGGGGTCAGTAGGGGGCCCCATGAGATGCTCATGGTACCTTTTTCATAGGCTTTTTTTAGTTTTGGCAAGGACACAGGGCCCCCATGATCCCCTATTGCCCAGGGGCCCCATGAGTTGTCAGTCTGCCCCTGTATAGACATGTTTGTTACTTTTAGAGAAAAAATGTATGGTTACAAGGACTGTGCCCAGTGCAGTGCTTTAATGATGCCCTCCTGGGCTTAGGGGAGGAGGGAAGGGTGATTATCTGCATATATTCTCTGACAAAAAATCCATGTGTCTGTATATATACAGTGCTTAGCATAAATGAGTCAACCCAAAAGTAAGATTTTAATCAATACCTCAATGAACACACAAACAATTTCCAGAATTTTGACAAACATTTGTTTAGCTCATTACATGAAAGTAAGGTTAATAATAAAACCTAAATTGCAAAATTTCCAGTTTTATTCAAATTAGTTAATGCAAAAATTAATACACCCCACAACAAAAACTACTACATCTAGTATTTTGTATGACCTCCATGATTTGTAAGGACAGCACCAAGCCTTTGAGTCATGGAATTAACAAGTTGGCGACATATGGCAACATCTATCTTTTTCCATTGTTCAAGAAAAACCTCTTTTAGAGCCTGGATGCTGGTAGAGAGTAATGCTGAACTTGTCTCTTCAGAATTCCCCATAAGTGTTTGATTGGGTTTAGATTAGGAGATATACTTGAACACTGAATCACATTCACCCTGTTCTTCTTCAGAAATGCAACAGTGGCCTTGGATGTGTGTTATGGATCATTGTCATGTTGGAAAAGTGCATGACGACAAAGAGCATGGAGTGATGGTAGCATTTTTTCTTTCAAGATAGAGCAGTACATCTGTGAATTCATGATACCATCAATGAAATGCAGCTCTCCGACACGAGCAGCACTCATGCAGGCCCACAAAAGTTCACTGCCACCACCATGTTTCACTGTAGGCACCTTTGCGATGCCATACAGTTTTGAAGCCATTAGCTCCAAAAACATTTATCTTGGTCTCATCACTCCAGAGTATAGAGTCCCAGTAGTCTTCTTTTTCAGAATGGGCCCTGGCAAATTCTAGGCAGGGTTTTTTGTGTATGGGCTTTAGGAGAGGCTTCCTTTATGGACGACACCCACGCATACCATTCCTCTGTAGACTGCGCTGTATTATGTCATGGTTAACAATCATTCCAGTTTGGCTTTCTACTTCTTTAGCTAACTGTAGTGAACTTGTATGGCAATTTTCCTCAACCCTTCTCATCAGAAAACGCTCCTGTCTAGGTGTTAACTTCCGTGGACAGCCTAGACAACTCTGTGAGATGGTTGCAGTTCCATCTATGTTAAATTTTTGTATCACGTTTGCTACAGTATTATGACTGATAAGTAATGCTTTGCTGATCTTCTTGTATCCTTAACCTTTCTTGTGTAAAGAAATTATTTTATTTCTCAGGCCTTGTGACATTTCTCTTCCATGTAGTGCCATTGCAGACAGCATGAAATGGGAAGGGGTTTTCTTTGTTAAGTAACGCCCTTTTATAATCAACTGTCTGCTGGACAACTGTTTAAGAAATAAATAGACTCACCTGTAGTTGAATTCTTGTTAATTAGAATTTTGTAGTCCAAAATTTAGCTTTGCTTCTAAGACTTTCATTGGGGTGTATTCAACACGGTCTTCAATGAATTTGTTAGGAAAAATGCTTTTCTGTGTGTGCAAATTAACAAATCTTGTTTACAATCAATGGTCCACATTTGTAGGAGTATTTTGTAGTATAGTGTCCCATAGAAAATGTTGATTCTGAAAGGAAAGTAAGGACGGCCATACTTGGGTCAAAATTCGACCGATGAAAATCAGACGAAAAAGAATAATCGCCCGATTTTCACTCTGTTAGTTGGTCAATGTCACCGGCTGATTTTTGTGGTTCCTCCCCTTTTTGGTGATCGGGCGATCACCTGATCGGGTGATCGGAAAATTTGTGAAAAACTACAGATTTTTGACTCAATGATGTTAAAATCGTACGATTGTTTTTCCAAAAAGAACATGCACATGAGCCATGACCTGGAAGGCACAGAAGTTTCGCCTGTTATATAGGGTGAACTTTATGACTTGATTGGCCGATTTTCGAAATCATTGATCTCACCATCGGATTACCGAGCGAACAATATTTTCAATTTTCGGACGAAAAGTAGTTCGGAATTTGAACCATGTATGGCCTGCATAAACGTATGCTGACAAATGTGTTGGGGTGTACTCAGTTATGCTGAGCACTGTGTATTCTGTGTATTTAGTTGTTTCGGGCTGCATTTCAGGTATATATATCTATATACTTGCTGTGATTAGCGGGATAGGAACAAGCAGGCTACTTACTTTGTTCCCTGTTCCCCCCGCAGTCGGTGCTCTTCTCCACTCTTGATGCTCCTGAGATGTGGGTGGGCCTTCAGTGTCCTCACAGACAATTCAGAACCCCAACCAGTCAAGCAGTGAAAAAGAGTGGTTTCAGGAGACAGGTATTATACAGAGGAGGAAGACAACAGAAGTAAGTCATTAGGTAATTCATCTTTTCTCTAACCCCCTAGAAAAAAACAAGCATTTAACCCTTGTGGTGTGTGTGTGTGTGTGGGGGGGGGGGGGGCAACTGCAAGAGTAATTTTTTTCTGCTGTCCGGAGTTGGGCTTTAAGGCTTTCTCTGATGAAAGAGATGAAGCTTGCATCTAACATCACATTGTTTTGAAGGGCTCCAGACCCCTGCTAACCATTATGCACAATGCAATTTCATCAAATGCTGCAATCTCTCAAACATCCCCTCCTTTGATTAGAAGCTTGCCTTCAGCTGACAGAGAGTGATTTGCACCTTTCATCACAGAAACGATTTCAGCTTGCAGCCATAAACAGAAATATGAAGAGCACATAACCTGATATTATGTTTTTGTTGATGATTTTCATCCTGGCTGTAGTTTCCCTTTAAATTGAAAAGTCTAAAATCCATTTTATTCTGAAATAAAAAGACATTCTGTCCAGAGGAAAAGAACGTCTCAGAGTTTATATATACATTTTTATATTTTGTGCAAAATTGGTGTTATTTACTCCCTCTGCTGTGTATACAGTGAGTATATATCTCTGTAATTGAAAAAGGAGGCACACGACAAAGCAGATTGATAATAAAACTGTGAGTTATGAAGCGAAATATGGCGTGTAACAGAACACAGTATCAATAATGTAACTCTATTTATAACTGGGTAGAAACCTAATCCCGGACTTCAGGATGCAGACATGCATCTCTGAACTTTTAAATGACACAGAAAAAGAAACAAGGGAGAGAATAAGGTGCCTGAGATTTCCACACATACCGGAAGGAAGTCACCAGGCCTGGAGGTCAGCTGATGGCCATCAGTGGTCAGAGACACCAAAGGAATGTCAAAGCTTTGCTACTACTAGGCAGCACAGGGGGTGACAAGATGATGGAACAAAAGGAGGGTAAGACTAATAACTAAGTTGTATGCCGTATAGCAACTAGATGATATACCTTACCTTTTTACTACTAGTAGCTTACAAATTGGAATTTGATTGCTTGTCATGAACAAAGTGCACACAAAATATGTAAAGGCAGAGCTGGTCCTGTTGTCCACAACTAGACATTTGTGTAAGCAGGTCCCTAGCAATTACCAGCACTCTATATGCTGCTAGAAGGCCTACTACATTATGGAACTGTCCCAAGGTCTAACTCTTCAGCCCACAACTGCTTCACAGCATACAAAGACTGCAGCTTCTGTTTATAGATAGTAGGTTGTAAACTCTTCACTACACCAATCTCTTGGCCCAATATAACACCGATCCATAAATGGTTAGAAGTACCCATGTTGCAGGGCCCTGCATTTCTCTGTGGTTTCAGATCAGGGCTCCAATAGTCTATCCCAGTGGTTCTTAATGTTTTTTGAGCCACAGAGCACTTCAAGAATCTGACTAAAGCTATGGATGCCCTCCTCAGAAATTTTCATTTTTAAATACCATTTAAATGTACAAATTCAAATGGTAAACATGGGCCAGGAACAAATAAAAAAATGCATAGCTGTTGGCACAAGCAGTGGCAGGGTGCAGATTCTTTCAATGGGAAACCATTGATTAGGATAAGGGAGAGGATTCTATAGTGAATGTAAATGTTATTTGTTTTTCTCTGACCCTCACAGACCCTCTTAAACTCATCCATGGACCCCTAAGTGGTCCATGGACCCCAGGTTAAGAGCCCCTACTGTATCCAAACTCCTGAGGCCTAAGACATATAGGGGACCAGTTGACCTGGGGTGTGTTCCATAGAAGTCTCTCCTCACTATCAGGAAGGTGCCTTCTTTTCCTGACTACCACCACTCCCAATCCAGCCAGGTTTACAAGGTATACCTTCTATTCAGGATCTTGTACACCAGCATTCGTGAAATATTTTATGAGTTGCACCTATCCAGCCACTTACAGTTTACCCATGTACTGGCCCACCTATCACTATTCCGCTCAATTGCCGGCATCCTCTTTAATAATACCACGCCAGCCAGAAGCAAAGCCCATGCCTTTTATTACATGCTTGCAGGTTACACTTAAGTGATGCAGCATCTCTTTCAGAGGCAATATAAAAAAAACATTTGCAACCGTCTATACCCAATGTGGGGAGGCCAACAAAGCAAACAAACTGGAAAATTCTCCCCAGTCCTACATTTCCATAATCCTGTTTCTGCCTCTCTAATTCCACCCAACAAAGCTCCACCCACTATTTATATGGGATCCTGCCAGAAAGGGTAGGGTTATGACATCACTTCCTGGGGAAGTACCAGGTGGAGCCTAACTAAATGAGGAACCTATTAACCCTTCCCTACATCTGGTTCCTCAACTCATTCTCCCAAATTGTGTTAGAGACATAGAAGGAGGTCAGCATGGACAACAAATGAGGTCAGCATGGACAACAAAAAAATGTTTCTATGCATATATTATTTAATGCTTAAGAGTGATCTGAATCTACCCCAGTAGCTATATTTATGTAGTGTTAACCTCCGAAGAGGCCTGCTGCTTTGTCCCAGGTTCTTTTCCCAAGCTAGTGTAATGGCAGCCAGGCATGCCATGACAGCCACTCTTCTGGCTAAATGAACAGTCTAAGGGTATTTTTTAAAGGTTTATTACAAGTTGAACTGGGATAGGAAGCAGGGAGCTGTGGGATACTCCAGTAACACAGTACAATATTCAAAGAACACTCTTCACTTTGTCAGACCTATTAGTACTGTCCCTCTAGTAACAGCTAA